ATAGTAAACTATTTCTGCATTACCCAAGTCTCATAGAGGCTGAGATAAACAAGTGCTTTTGGAATCAGACCAGAATGGACTGTAAACATTTATGGAAACAAAAGAAGTGGGAGTGAATTTTTCTTTCTACATTTGAGTATGAAAACCAGGCCTTGCTAAAGTTCATTCTTCAGACCACAACTCTACATATCCCCCTGACAGTATGGCTAGTGGCCAAAGGATTTGGGGAACCACATTTTTAAAAGTAACTTTTCTAAGCTGTCTTCACAGGGAAGAAACATAAGCCTCTGTTTAAGGAGATATATAGGAATTGTACATATCACGGCATTTAAGCCAATAGTGGTGGAAGGAAGACTGGATTCTCCTGGTATAGTGGTTCTCAACCTGTGGGTCACCGGGTGTTTTGTCTACAATTCCAAGAAATCCCAGCCAGTTGCCTGCTGTTAGGATTTCTGGGAGCTGACTGGATGACCCATGAAGTCTCTTCCAGCTCTTAGATTCTATGATTCTATGAAGGTCAAAACATCTGGGGACCCACAGGTTGAGAACCACTATCCTAGTAGATCTCCAGGTGCAGTTTGAAATAAACTGGCTCAGATCACTGGTCTTTCTTTCTTTCTTTCTTTCTTTCTTTCTTTCTTTCTTTCTTTCTTTCTTTCTTTCTTTCTTTTAAAACAACTGTAGCAACAAAAACCAATCCTCCCCTAGTATTCAGTTTTATTTTTGAGATAATGACAGCTTGGATTAACAAGAGTGGATTTTTGAAAAATTGAGAGATGGAGGCTTTACAGTTGTATAATTCTGTTTGATAAACCTTGAGGTTCTAGTCAAAACAAAGCAAAACAAGCAAAGTCGACCCTGCAATTCTAATATTCTTATATTATATTGATTTACATTGTATTACTGCCTATCATTAACTCCTAAAGTTTCTCTGGGAATCCCTTTTCACTATCTTACAAACTCCAAATGAAGGTTTTAATATTTGCAAAATATTTGTGCTACTAATTAGGTATGACTGTGAAATTCCCTAGCTCTATTATATATGGAGCACATTTTTAAGTTATTTTTTCCAAAGTAAATATCCTAATCCAAGCCATTTCAGTTAGCATTTGCTTAATATGAGTTGGAAGAAAGGGAGGGAGGAGGAAAGAAGGAAGAAAAAAACCTTAAAATCCTATTCTATTTTTTTTCTAGCAGAAATTATGCCTCTAACTATTGCGGCAGTTCGAATAAAGAAGAGAACACAAGAGTCAACAGTTCAGAAGTTCAGCTAAGGTTATAGCTGTTGCTGACCTCGATTCCACTGTTCAGTCTCAACAAAGAGAAGCAGGAGATGCCATTAAGTCTTTCTGGCAGCTTCATAGCCCCAAACACTTTCTCTCTTTCTCTTGTCTTTCCCATGATTAATTAAGGCCAGTGGAAGTACGACAATAGAGCAACACACTGGTACAGTTTGCCAGTCTCTTCAGACCACAGGGCTGTGATGTTATGACTAAGAGAAAGCAACTCCTGATAACTAGGAAAAGCTGTTGTCAGGGCTGAATCTATCTTTCATCTCCTTGTGGGATAAGTCATCTATGCCAAAGAGCAGACTGTCCAGAGTGTTAACTGAATGGCTATAATTTCGCCAAGCATTTCTGCAGCATATTGCAGTCACAAGATATAGGTGATATTTGTGCTGAAGATATATGTTGTAGCCTTGCCATTGCATTACATATAGTCTGGCCAATGGTACCTATAATGCAACTGTCATACAAAACCTTCCAGGGCCACAGCCAAAACAATAATTCTTTGTGTTGTTTTATTCTACTATGCAAAAACAAATCCTGCCATCTTTATGTAGTCAATCATCATATTTGTGGAAACAGACTGATATGACTAGCCAACTGGAAATCAATACCCTTTTTTAAAATAAAACTATTTGCAAAACACCATTCCGTTTCTGTTTGTTTGTTTTCAAGATACATAACCAAAATCTTTGTTTATACCTTGTTAGTGCTTATGATTTACACTGTTTCTGCTTTTGACCAAGATAACCAAATGATAATAGCCAGAAATTATTGCCAGGAAAAAAGTTCAAAACATTTAAGACAAATAGTAAAGCATGCGTACATTTCATGTAAAATAGCCTCTTTTCCAGATTTCAATAGACAAGCTTGTGGAAACAGAGTTTCTGTATGCCTAGCTGCAAAACATTGCTTAGACATTTCTTCTAGCACGTCCTATAAAGAAATCATCCATCTCTTGATCAGTAAAACTGTACTGATGCAAACAATCACACCAGAAAATTAAAATCATAGTCATAGAGTTGGAAGAGGCCTCATGGGTCATCCAGTCCAACCCCCTGCCAAGAAGCAGGAAAATCGCATTCAAAATATCCCTGACAGATGGCCATCCAGCCTCTGTTTAAAAGCCTCCAAAGAAGGAGCCTTCGCCACACTCCAGGGCAGAGAGTTCCACTGCTGAACAGCTCTCACGGTGAGGAAGTTCTTCTCTACGTTCAGATGGAATCTCCTTTCCTGTAGTTTGAAGCCATTGTTCCACATCCTAGTCTCCAGAGCAGCAGAAAACAAGACTGCTCCTTATGACTTCCCCTCACATATTTATACATGGCCATCATGTTTCCTCTCAGCCTTCTCTTCTGCAGGCTAACTGTGCCCAGCTCTTTAAACTGCTCCTCATAGGGCTTGTTCTCCAGACCCTTGATCATTTTAGTTGCTCTCCTCTGGACACATTCAAGCTTGTCAATACCTTCCTTCAATTGGGGTACCAAGAACTGAACACAGTATTCCAGTTATGGTCTGACCAAGGCAGAATAGAGGAATAGCATGACTTCCCTGAATCTAGACACTTCACTCCTATTTATGCAGGCCAAAATCCCATTAGCTTTTTTAGCCGCCGCATGACATTTTTGGCTCATGTTTAACTTGTCCATGAGGATGCCAAGATCTTTTTCAAAGGTACTGCTGTCAAGCCTGGTGTCCCCCATTCTGTATCTTTGCATTTAATTTTTTTCTGCCTAAGTGAAGGATCTTGCATTTGTCCCTATTGAACTTCATTTTGTTAGTTTTGGCCTACCTCTCTAATATGTTAATATTTTTTGAATTCTGTTCTTGTCTTCTGGGGTATTGGCTATCCCTTTCAATTTGGTGTCATCTGCAGACTTGATGATCATGCCTTCTAATTAAATAAAAAAACATTGTTTTCCCTGGAAGTTCTAGAACTCAGATATTTTTGCATACAAATTATTATAAACATTATATATACATTATAAACATTGTATGAACAAACTGGTGACAGAGTCTCAATATGTTTTTTAAAATCAGCAAAGGAAAGTGAAGAAAGTTATTAAAATGACTCCAGATGGTTCTACTAGTATTTACTCTTATTTTTGCTCAGAAAGGGGGTATTTTAAAGGTTAGGACCAAGGGCCACAAAAACAGCCTTAGGTGCCACATAAAACCTCAGGGTTGCATACTGAACGCCCCTGAGCTAATCTTCTAATGAAGCACACCTGTGATAACATAGGACATCTACTGAAAAGGCCTTCACTAGACAAGACACATGGCATTTTTTTGGTGGGATTGCACAAATTAAAAAATCCTTTTGTCCTTTCTGGGAATGATGGAACTTGCAATGTAACACATATCCAGGGCACCAAGATAGCAAAGGTAGCACTAGAGCAGGCATGGTGTTGTAGCCTGGCAAGGGCCAGGCGATTCTGATGAGGATGATGGTTTTCAAAACAAAGTGTCTGAGAGCACAGCCTATGGGAAGAGACAGAAGGCGCAGAGGTCTCAAGGGAGTGTAAGTTAGCTTTTTGGACTCAAGGCATGGAAACCAGACAATTAAAACATTCCAAGAGAATTAGAGAAAGGAGTCTCAGGTCCAGGTGTGGCATGGATGATATCATGAATTCTTTGGTGGGTTTAAATTAGCCGATTGATTCTCTGCAAAGCAGAGAAGACAACATTGCTGTTGGGAAACAGTCTTCCGCTCATGTTGCCAAGTCTATAATTCCTGTAACTCAATATTCTTGTTTCATGTTGATGCCTTGCCTATGTACCTTGTAAGAGTTTGCCTGTGATCACGTTCCTGTGTTTTACCTTGGATCATTTGGTGTTCTTGGATTTCTAGTTCCTGTGAAGTTTCCATGGATTTCTAAGGACGTTTACTGAACTCTGACTGCTTTTGTATATTTATTTATTTATTTAGTTAGTTAGTTAGCCCCCAGGTGACTCAGTATATTGCTGTTTATATACTGTCTGCTGCTTTTGGATATAAACCCTTTCCCTCTTTTTATTACTCTTTATTCAATAAATTCTTTAGATTTGAACCATTGGTTTCTGGTGTGGTGCTGGGTGAAGAGGTGCCTCAAGGCTGAGATGCAATGCATGAGCAAACTTCAGCCCTCCAAGTGTTTTGGACTTCAACTCCCACAATTCCTAACAGTTAGGAATTATGGGATTTGAAGTCCAAAACACCTGGAGGACAGAAGTTTGCCAATGCTTGCACTAGAGAGTACAGGTTGTTCCTGTTGGAGCATGCAAGGAATCAGTTAATGTGTGTGTGTCAACTGTAAAATAAGATGCATGAAGCTGATTGGTCAGGCAATGCCTGGGGAGCAGGCTGAGCCTGGGACTTTTGGTTACTGTTGCATTTTTGTTCGGGTTTGAGCTATGTATATGCAGAGGGAGACAGTTTGCTGAGAGACGCAGAGAGACACAGAGTTTGGAGTGTGCTCTCACTTCTAAGCTTCTGAAAGAGTTTATTCAAAGAAAGACTATTTTAAATATCTCATGAAAAGGACTTTATGTGAGTTGATGCAACTGATCACACTACACATATGTTGTTCTGACCTGCGAAAAGTAAACTACTTGTTCTTTATTGTTCACGTGCATGGCATATTTTCATTCTCTGGCAAGGCAATGTGTGAGCTGATCAAACGTGAACTACACATTGTTTATTTTACATTACACCACAGTTCCCACTCCCATTACCTTTTGTCGTTGTTGAATGTTGTTCATGGTATCTGGCTGAAATTCCAGTTTGTCAGTACGGCAGAGCTTCCAGTATAAAATGATGATGATGAGCAGGACTACAGCAACTGGGACAGCAATACCAACAATAATCCAAAGATTGTTCTGTGACTCTGGGGGAGATTCTTTAACTCTATCCACAGCTACAAAACAAAGTGAGAAAGAATTGAAATTTTACCTCCACTGGCTGCAAATGTATGGCTATAATCCAGTTAACAAAGTCAATGTGCTTCGGGGCATTATTTAACAGAAGTACGATGGAAAGAATAGGGAAATATGGTATATGAATGGCTGCAAAAAGACATGACTCCTGAAGATGCTCTAATTTAACACGGATTAATCAGAGAAATAAAATAATAAAATAAAATCGATAAAATAAAATAAAATCGATAAAATAGTAAAGAGTAGAGACATCACACTGGCAACAAAGATCCGCCTAGTCAAAGCCATGGTATTCCCTGTAGTAACCTACGGATGTAGGAGCTGGACCTTAGGGAAGGCTGAGCGAAGGAAGATCGATGCTTTTGAGCTGTGGTGTTGGAGGAAAGTTCTGAGAGTGCCTTGGACCGAGAAGATCCAACCAGTCCATCCTCCAGGAAATAAAGCCCGACTGCTCATTGGAGGGAAGGAGACTAGAGACAAAGTTGAAGTACTTTGGCCACATCATGAGGAGACAGCAAAGCTTAGAGAAGACAATTATGCTGGGGAAAGTGGAAGGCAAAAGGAAGAGGGGCCGACCAAGGGCAAGATGGATGGATGGCATCCTTGAAGTGACTGGACTGACCTTGAAGGAGCTGGGGGTGGTGACGGCGACAGGGAGCTCTGGCGTGGGCTGGTCCATGAGGTCACGAAGAGTCGGAGACGACTGAACGAATGAACAACAACAAAATCAGAGAAAGGGGTTAGTGGCTGAGATGCTGAAAAATGCAGCATGAAAAATGCCAAGAGGAAGTGAGAAAACTGCAAGAAATAATACATATTATTATTATTATTATTATTATATTATTATTATTATTATTACTATTATTATTATTATTATACTACATTTATACCCCACCCTTCTCACCCCAGTGGGGGACTCAGGACAGTTTACAATCCATGGCATACAATGCCTCATTACACATATAATAATAAACGTAACATATCAATTTAAACATACAATAATAAACATGAGATAACAATTTGAATATAAATACAATAAAAAGCTTAGAAGTAATTCAAATAGAAATACAATAAAAAAGCTTAAAAGTAAACATACAATAATTCAAATAGAAATACAAAAAGAGCTTAAAAGTAAACATTGAATCCCAACCAAAGTGGGCTGGTGGAATAAGTGGTCAGAAGCAACAGGAGAGGCAGGGGAACCCCGAAAACGAGCACCCGCACAGGTGTTCCAATGTCCAAATGATGGGCAATGTGGCCATGGAGGCACCCCATGCAGGTGTTCCTGCAGCCGGGCAATGGGTGGCGCAGCCATTAAAGTAGCAGCGCGGCGAGGTTGCGGGAGCCATGTTCTCTCCCTGCTAGGTCAGCTGTTCAATACATGTGAATGTACAGAGGATTAGAAGGATGGGATATGGCATGTACATAATTACTGAGGTTTTTTTCCGTGTCAGGAGCAACTTAAGAAACTGCAAGTCACTTCTGATGTGAGAGAATTGGCCATCTGCAAGCGCATTGCCCAGGGGATGCCCGGATGTTTTACCATCCTTCTCTCATGTCTCCACATGGGGAGCTGGAGCTGACAGAGGGAGCTCATCCACCCTTTCTCCAGATTTGAGCTTCTGACCTGTCGGTCTTCAGTCCTGCTAGCACAAAGGGTTTAACCCACTGCGCCACTGGGGGCTATTAAAAAGCATTAAGAAGGGGGGGGGGGTTCTAGTTTTTTCTAACTAAAATTCATTCCTAGATCAAGTAATACAAACCAGCAAAATTATTTTTTTCTGCAATCATTAAACACATAACAATACAGGTAACTTCCAGAAATGTGAATACAATACATATCATAACATATTAATAAATACACAGACCTAACAAGCTTAAAGGCTTACTTGGCTTCTTCAAGATAGTTACTGCAAATGTAGGATTTGGTAGGGTTATAAACCATGCGAGACAAATCCTTAACAGTTTTATAAAATAAATATGTATTTATTAACTCTAATCTTGCTCCATTAATACAAAAATCTTTTACTCTCTATAAAGGAAAATAAAGCCAGTCACATAAATTCCCCCAATCCTTATAATATCCACTAGCATTATCTGCCAGTGTTACAATCTTTCACTAGTGCCATACTTGGCAGACATTATGCTTCCTAGTTTCTTTAAAAGTTTCATACAAGATGTAAATTTAGTATTTCCTTTAAGAAGGGGAGTGCATATCACTACATCAAATGGATGATGAAAATCAAAATTCACTGAGGTTTCCCCATTTCTGTACAGTAGAAAATGAACACAGATAGGTTCTCTATTGGAAGCCATTATGAGTACTTCAACTGGCTGTAATTGCAGTAGACGAAACGACATAATCAGAAATCTATGTTTTATTAGATTCTCTGTTGTATTAAGGTTTGTTGTGGCTAGGAAGCTATTGGCACACAACATACAGTTCATAATGTATTGCAGTTCTTGTAACTGACACTGATAGATTTTTTTTAAAGTAGTTAAAGGTAAAGGTAAAGGTTGTTCAGGCTTGGCCTCATGTAAGCTGCTCCCATCAGGGAGATGGTGGCGGGGTATAAATAAAGATTATTATTATTATTATTATTATTATTATTATTATTATTCCCCTGACATTAAGTCTAGTTGAGTCTGACTCTGGGGGGTGGTGCTCACCTCCATTTCTAAGCCAAAGAGCCAACATTGTCCATAGATACCTCCAAGGTCATGTGACAGGCATGACTGCATAGAGTGCCATTACCTTCCTGCCAGAGCAGTACCTATTGATCTACTCACATTTGCATGTTTTCGAACTGCTAGGTTGGCCAAAGCTGGGGTTAACAGCAGGAGTTCTCGGCACTCTCCGGATTCGAACCTGCAGCCTTTCGATCAGCAAGTTCAGCAGCTCAGAGGTTTAACCCACTGTGCCACCTAGACCAGGGGCTTATTCATGTTACACAATTATGATACTATTATTCTACTCTAAATATTATTATTCCATTCTTAGGGATTCTTGGTTGCGAATTCTAAATGCTCCTCACTAAAATAGCAATCCCAAGACTCTGGCAGTGTTGTAAGCCTGGCACTTAGCATAATCCTATATGTCACATCACCTGATTATTAAGGAGAGGTACAAAAACCTTTTCATTCCCTCTCAGCAGCTGAAGTAGAATAAGAGTGCTATAATTAAACAATGTGAATGGGCCCTAGGTCTCAATCTAAGTTTGGTTGACAGCTTCCTGATATCACCTTGCAAGCTACTCTTAAACATCGGTAGACACTGGTAGCCATACCATTAGGCATACTTCTGGTGTCATAAAACAGAGTGAAATATACATTTATTGTGTTTTTACTGCCACTAATGGAAAAGGAAGTTTTGGGACTTTCTACCTCTGAACCAAAAGAAATTGGTCGTATGTTCCATGTGCATAGGCGCTACTTGCTGCCTCAACCAAATCAGAAAAGACACTGGAAAGCTCGCAGTCAGTAATGATGTGTTTTTATTCATTTTTAAACTCAAAGCTTGTGCAGCCTAGTGGTATGAGTCCCCCTCTGGGGTGAGAAGGGCGGGGTAGAAGTAACCGAAATAAATAAATATGTGGGTATGATATAATTCCAGCCACAAAACTCATTGATGACCTCCCAGCCCCTGACTTATTAACCTTATAGGGTTGCTAGGAGGATAAAGTGTGAAAAGAGAGGTAATTTATAGATTTTACTGGAAGGTAAGAGGAAATGGTACTTATTAATACAATAAATATTATTTTTGCCCTGGAGCCACTAACCCTGAAGAAAACATGCCATTATTTTGTGTTGTCAAAAGCTTTCAGGGCCAGAATCACTAGGTTGCTGTGAGTTTTCTGGGCTGTATGGCCATGTTCCAGAAGCATTCTCTCCTGACATTTCACCCACACCTTTGACAAGCATCTTTTGAGTTTTGAGGTCTGTTGGAAACCATGCAAGTGGAGCTACTCAATGCTAATCAAGCTGGCCAATTGCAACATTCACATGTGCCTCAAAAGACAAGAGTTCTTTTTCCCATCCTGGACACTCCACAGACGCCACTTACCTAGTTTCCACTGAAATCCACAAGCATGTGGACAATTTCAACAGAAAGGAGGAGACCATGGAAATGAACAAAATCTGGCTACCAGTTTTTAAAAAACTCTAAAATCAGGACAGTAAATAAGTAGCAACACCCAAAAAGCAGGGGAATTCCAGACAAGAATCAATCAGGGCCAGGTAACACCTCCAAACAATGGATTCCCCCAGGCAGCAATCAGCAAGGCTTTGAAGCTGCTAGGCCATTAAATGCTAAACAAGGTGGCCAACTGCAACATTCTCACTTGCCTCAAGCAGACAAGAGTCATTTCTCATATCCTGGACATTCCACAGATATATAAACCTCACTTGCCTAGTTTCCGACAGACATCACATAGATGTGGGCGAAACGTCAGGAGAGAATGCTTCTGGAACATGGCCATACATCCCAGAAACTCACAGCAACTCTGTGATTATTTTCATTTAAAAGCTTATAAACAGAGAAGCAGGATATAACACGTAAGTATTTTTAAAAGTGAGAAATCATTTTCTGTTAAAGTTATTGAATAACCAAATCCCACATTGCAAGGCTTAGTCATTGTGAATCTTCTAACATAGAAGTATCCTGTTTGAAGTTATTTTTAATCTGAGTACAGCTTTGCTCTGTATTGTTGTATATGTTTCCCTCATGTTCCTCCCTCATTTGCAAGTTATGATAGTCACTGAAATCACTAATTTATACTGACAGCGGATACATTATATAAGTGTACATAAAGGACAGAAAGTACCATCCTATTAATAATAGGCTTCCAAACAAAATGTCATTTAACTGAAGGGATTGCATCTAAGAAATATGTTTCCAAGCTCTTGTTACCCCCAAGTACTTTTGCCTGGAGTTACAATGCCCTTTACAATGTCTTAATTTAAAGTGGTATTTTAAATCTTATTTCTACTTACTCCCTCAAGTCTTTTCCTGCACAGATTTGACATGCATTTCAATAGCATATCCTGTTCTATATATTCTATGTATTATGTTAACACCATCAGTCCTAGAACAGACACAAATGCAGTAACATAACGGGTGAATAAAGATACTCCACTGAAAAATAATAAGTTAACTGTAAAATGAAAAGCATGAAGCTGATTGGTTGGGCCACGCCAGGGGAGCTAGCTGAGCCTGGGAGTTTTGACAACAGTTTCATATTTAGACTGAGCTGTGTAGGTGCTTGCAGACAGAGAGACAGTTCTTGCTTCATGACCTGCTGGAAGGAGATTTTCCGTGTGGACACCGAAAGACCATTTATATCTCTCTATAACAGTGCTTCTCAACCTGTGGGTCCCCAGATATTTTGGCCTTCAAGTCCCAGAAATCCTAACAGCTAGTAAATTGGCTGGGATTTCTGGGAGTTGTAGGCCAAAATGCCTGGGGACCCACTGGTTGAGAACCACTGCTCTATAAGGACATTGTGTGTGAGTCAATACAACTGACCTCATGATTGTGAATATACGTTGTTCTGCATTACAAAGAGTAAACTTCTTGTTCTTTATTTATCATCTGTGTGCATATTTTCTTTCTCTGACAAGACAGTATGTGGACTGATAAAACATGAGCTACGCGCGATTTTCATTACGCCAACAATTTATACAAGCAGCAAAGACTACCAACATTGAAGTGACGCTCCTCTGCCATCAACTCCGCTGGACTGCCGACATTGTCCAAATGCCTGATCACCATCTCCCAAAGTAGTTACTCTACTCCCAACTCAAGAACAGGAAACATAATGTTGGTGGACAGGAATAGAGATTTAAAGATGGGCTTAAAGCCAACCTTAAAAATGTGGTATAGACAATGAGAACTGGGAAGCTCTGGCCCTTGAGTGTTCTAACTAGAGGTCAGCTGTGACCAGCAATGCTGCAGAATTCAAAGAAGCATGAATGGAGCGTGAAAGGGAGAAACATGCCAAGAGGAAGGTGCATCAAGCCAACCCTGACTGGAACTGCCTTCCACTTGGAAACTGATGCCCTCACTATGGGAGAACATGTGAATCAACAATAGGGCTCCACAGCCACCTACGGACCCAACGCCAAGACACCACATCTGGAAGACCATCATCCTCAAGCTATGAGGGATTGCCCAAGTAAGTAAGTAATTTATACATGATCTGGCTGCACAGATCATGAAAAACCACAGATTGCTCTAAACCAGGCACGGGCAAACTTCGGCCCTCCAGGTGTTTCCAACTTGAACTCCCACAATTCCTAACAACCCAAGGCTTAAGCGGCTGGGGGGGGGGGGGGGAGGAAAGAGCCTGAGGCGGTTAGGAATTGTGGGAGTTGAAGTCCAAAACACTTGGAGGGCCAAAGTTTGCCCGTGCCTGCTCTAAAATAATGGGAATGCCACAATATTTGACTGTCCTGTGTGGTAAATAAGTGTCCACTGTGAGACAGAATATGAAGAAACAGAATAGTTTTCAAGTGGCAGGGATGTCAGACAAAGGCATTTTGTCACTCTATCTGCTTAATTTATACATAGAACACTTTTTGAAAAAGTAGAATTAAACTTGGTGTGGGGGGTGAAAGCAAGAGAAGAAATATCAATAATTTAAGATCTGCGTATGACACCAGACAACTGGCAGAATTTAGCAAGCCGTTGACATAATTATCTGGAGGAAAATTAAGGAAGAAAGTGCAAATTGGTATTAAGAAAGCAAAACAAAGCAGAGCACAGCAAATCAAGGTAACTTTAAACCTAAAAAGGAGGGTAGGGGTGGGAGAGGGAAGACTCTAGCAGAACCTTTGAAATTAACTGACTTCTTTTAGCATGAGCTAAATAAATTATTTAGCCCAAAGGTTGTTGCTATTCTTCCCCCCAATCTTATCCCTCCCTTATTTTCCTCTTTATGTTGAAATATGCTAACACTGCTATTTCTTTCAGAATTTTAAAGTGGATGATCTCTACCTTTGCTCAGACATCATTCAAAATAGAGACTGTAGAAAAGTCAGAATAGGAAAAAAGATTAGAATTTGGAAGAACAGCTCTGATAGACTAGATAAAATCTTCAAAGAGTGCCAATGTCAGGATCATCCATTGTATAATATTTCCAGTTTTATGGATGTGAAAGTTAGAAGTGAAGAAAGCTGACAGAGAAAGAATAAACTCATTTGAAATGTAAAGCCATGGTGGTACAATGGGTTAAACCCTTGCACCGGCTGAACTGCTAACCAGAAGGGGTGAGCTTCTGTTTGTCAGCTCCAGCTTCCCATGTGGAGACATGAGAAAAGCTTCCCACAGAATGGTAAAACATCTGGGCATCCCCTGGGCAACATCCTTGCAGACAGCCAATTCTGTCTGGTCCTTTGCACAATTAAAGCTTGTGTGCCAGTTGCGACCGTACCTCGAGAAGTCTGACTTGACCATGGTGGTCCACATCTTAGTTACCTCCAAGTTGGACTACTGTAATGCACTCTATGTGCGGCTGCCTTTGAAGACAGCCTAGAAACTGAAGTTAGTGCAAAGATTGGCAGCCAGGTTGTTAACTGGAGCAAACTACAGGGAGTGGTCAAGCCCCTGTTCAAACAGCTTCACTGGCTGCCGATAGGTTTCCAGTCTCAATTCAAGGTGTAGGTTATCACCTATCACCCTGAGCAGTTTGGGACCTGCCTATCTTAGCAATCGCATCTTCCCCTACAAATCTGTGCAATCTCTTAAGATCTGGGGAGGCTCTTCTCTTACTCCCACCTCCTTCACAAGCATGGTTGGTGGGGATGAGAGAGAGGGCCTTCTCGGTGATGGCCCTCCAGCTCTGGAACCCTCTCTCCAGGGAGATTAGGCTGGCACCCACCCTGTGTGCCTTCTGTAAAGATCTAAAAACATGGATGTTCCACTGTGCTTTTGATTAGACAGTTCCCCATATAATTTCGCCCCCTAGCTATGATCCAAAATCTAATCCTTGCACTTTACTACTGTCCCCTACCCAGAGATATAGTGTTCTATGCCATATTGCCCTGTATTCCTAATTCTGTCATCTGACTTTTGCACTTGCCCTGTCCTCACAACTGATTTGCAGCAGCCCACCACCTGAGACCAGAAACTATTTACTATTTCACGCCATTGGTTGATTGCTCAATGGCTGTTTTTATACTATGTTGTTTGTTTTATACTATGTTATTTATTTTAACTATGTTGATATTTTAACTATGTTGTTTGGATTTGTCCCCATGTAAGCTGCCCCAAGTCCCTTCAGGGAGATGGAGGTGGGATACAAAAATAAAGTTGTTGTTGTTGTTGTTGTTGTTGTTTTTGCTGCTGTTGTTGTTGTAATACCAGAAGCGATTTGCAGTTTCTCAACTCTATTCTGACACACACACACACAAAAAGAAATGTAATGCTGGAAAAGGATTCTACAAATACAGTGGGATGTCAAAAGGACAAATGAAAGACTCCTGGAAGAAATCAGATCTTAACACTCGCCAGAAACCAAAGTGACTTCATAAAATGATGACATAAAAATGACATAAGTCACTGGAAAAAGATGGCATGGCTCAGAAAAGTGGTAGGTAGTAGGAAAAGAGAAAGACCACATCAAAGATGGATTGACTCAATCAGTGAAGCCAAAGCCCTGACTCTGCATGACCTGAGCAGCGCTATTAACGTTAGGATCTCTTAGAAGGTTCTCTTTCATAAAGTTGCTGTATGCTGACATGATAATGACAACAAAGTTAACACTGGTGGAAAACAAACACATATGGAGTCAGTTATATACGAGGTTTTTATAAAGGTTTTTGTGTGATATGGTGAGCACCATCACAATTCCGCATAAACTAGGGAAGGCGAGGAGTGTGCAAATTCTCCAGAATCTGAGAGTGAGTACATAAACAAATGGTTTCCCCAACTGTTGAATATCGTTAACAGGCCAATAACAAAATGGTTGCCTGTTTTTTTCTCCTCATCATTTATCTATATGTTTCTTAGGGGAACTTACGCTGAGCCACTGGGCCTTGAATGCGGTATCCAAGAATGATGGCAGCCCTCTGAATATCCACTCTGTTAATCAGATCTGCTGTCTTCACAGCACCAAGCCTTTCGCCGTCTTGATCTTCCACAAAATAAACCAGCATAAATGGGTTGTCAGGTTCCTCTAAACGTGACATGTTCACAATCTGAAAAAGAATATAAACATTTAGAAGTTTTCAATTAAAAAAGCCTTCTATATACTTGTAAAATCCCACTCATCTAAAGCTGATAATACATTATTATAGTGGTATGAAAACAAGTAGCAGAATCAATTGCCTTTCCTTTTGTGTCGCTGTCTCTTGGAATGTAAGCATTTGTCTTGTTTGCAAATCATGATGAGCCATAATTTAGAACAAGGTGAATGAAATACAGTGTGACCTGCATTCAGATACTCCCTCCTTCTCCCTCTCTTGCTCTCATGGGTTGTTTTTTTTAGAAATTCTCACTTTTTTCTTTCTTTCTATTTATTTATTTATTTATTTATTTATTATGACATTTATTTGCCGCCCTTCTCATCCCAAAGAGACTCAGAGCGGCTTACAAGATATATATATATATATATATACACACACACACATACACATACAATAAATTATATTATTAGCATCGTACAATATCAGTATTATATATTACTATATTGTACTATACCATTATATTGTAATATTATTCATAATATTACATGCAATATAAAATATATAACTATAATATCATATTATTATGCTTAGTATTATATTGTATTACATTATAATATTTTAAATATTATAAATATTATATGCATATACAATATATTATATTATATTATAATTAGCATAGCACAGGAGACTAGTGGAACTGTCCTCTGCCCCCCCCCCCACCCCCTTCATTCTGGCCATAATGTGCCATAGTTAACTAATGTGCATAGTTAACCTATAGTTTGGATCAAAAGATAAGTTCAAAAGCCTAAATACTCTAAAGGTACCACATTCCATCTGATCTTGAAAGCTAAGCAGGTAAGTCCATATTAGCTGATGGATAGGAGACTGCCAATGAATACCAAGCGCTGTAAGTTATATTTCAGATGAACAAATTGGCAAAGTCTAAGGAAAAAATAATGGGAGAATAGACAACTTAAAAACACATATAGGCACATATGTAGTAATGGTGAGGCCGTGGACCATATTTTCGTTCTTAGGGACCACTGGTGGTCCATGCACCACAGGTTGGGAACCACTGTTTTAAACCAAGAGTTAACCACATCTCATTGGGGTTAACTTGTTAAGCATACTTGCCAGCAATGAATGGAGTTGAAGCCAAACAAATGTGCCCATTCCTTTCTCCCTATCACTGTTTCTGCTTGTTCCCCACCTAGCAGACTGTTAGGGAAGGGACACACAACTTTTGGAGAGGGTTGAATAAATAATTCAGTTTTGAACGGTAAGCAAGCAACTTTGAGTGCTTTGACTCATCTTTCTAGGCACTCCTTGACCAACTCACTTGTCTTTAGCCTCTTGGATTGCACCTGCCCACTGCCATTTGCTTTTCAGTCCAAATGACACCTGAACATAACTACTGTGTTATATAACTCTTTCTAATCAAGCATATTTTCTGCCTGGTTCATGGTGCAATCCTGAATCGTAGACACACTGGTGTAAAGAATTAAGATTAGACACATGATCCTTCTGATAACCAAAATGGCTCTTCTCAGAGATCTGCCATCAGAACTATTCTGCTGACCAAATTCTGTCTAGTAGAAAAGCCAAAAGGAGCAAAGAAGTGGGGTGACAGTGGAACTGAGTTAAACCATACCCAAATCTCCTCAATTCCAAGACCATAATGATATTACCACAGTTAGAGCAGTATAAGGATAATCTTAAGTATTTCCAAAACCTTTAAATTGAGAAGACTTTGGATTCATGATGGATTCAGCAGACCAGTGTCAGCTCAGCTGGGCCTTAGCTATTTCCACCACTCGAGAATCTCAGCTGGCCCTCAGCCATTGGCACTCTAAGAGGTTTATTATTGGGGACTCTAATGATACAGCTTTACTGGCATGATTTAAGTCATAGAATGTGTGCCAAGAATCTCGACCTTAATGATATTTACTTGATGAATGGCCATTAACATTTTAAAATTATACTTTCATTTCATTAACTTTTGCAGAATTCAATCTAATGAGGGATTGGCTTTTGCTTCTGTGACTTCTGTTCAAAACCAAGCTCAACAGAAGAGAGTTCTATATCTAAAACCTAAACCACCTGAAACTGAGGATACAGCAGACATATTATTTGATTGTAATTTGTATCAGAAGGTGAGAGATTTCTACTGTGGTCCATATAGCAAACTGACAATATATTGGGAATCTCACATTAGAACAACACATTTTATGTGTGGCCAACACCCAAAAATATCATCTGAAACAGCTCTGTATTTAAGCAAAACAATACATTTGTGAACCACATATGTGGGCCTGATCAGGGTAAATTTTAGGGGTGATAAGGAAATATGATGTATATACTAAGTTTTAACAGTTTTATCATATCTTATCATGTTTATTTACTGTACTGTTAAAAGTGTCTTATTTTAACTTACTACATAGAGTGCAATCAAGTCTTATCAAGCCTTGTTGTTTGGTTTGGTATTGTGATATGGCCTAAAGGCTAATCAATAAAAATTACTACTATCACTACTAAAACCTAAACTAAAAGATATTAATTTCTTAGTAAAAAGCTCTTTTGTAAAAAAAAAAAAAATACTGACGATTCCCAAGACATTATAAAGAGTTAAAAATATATCATGGTGTCATAAATGTTCACAGCCATTTCACTAGATATAGCAAAGTGATATCCTAAATAGGTGAGTATGTGTAGAGTGGAAGTGGAGTGGAAAATGTAGGATGGTACACCAAGGTGAAGCAATTATCTCACTTCTAAGGAAGGCTGCAGGATTATGTAGGACTGATACAGTATTGTGTTTATTTTCAATGACCTTTCATATGTCTAAACTGTTTTGATAAAGTTAAACTCTCTTTACTACCTGATATACTATCTAAATGAAAAATCTCAAGAATAAATGTTATATAAGGTTAAAGTTAAAGTTAATGAATTTATTATCCATTAGCTTCATTTGTAGAAAACCCATAACACCATTTCTCAAAATGTCAAATTTATAATGGGATCACTGACAAACCTTTTGCTATAAAAATGATGGTTAGCTGCGTTGTTGACATTTGCTATGGAAACCTTGTCCTATAGGTAACAAGAAAAGGCAACTTGATTCTATATTCTTATTATTATCGAGAAATTACATTTTGTGAAGTTGTACTTTTGGGCTTTACTTCATAATCTGATATCCTTCCCATGCCAAACAGTCTCCTTTATACCAATTGAAGCTTAAACACTAAAATGTGATAGAGGAGGAAGAAAAGGGTATCTGGACATAAAGTGAGGATAGCTGGGATTTTATTATACACTGTTTGTGACAGCTCCATCATTTTAGATTATCATCACTGCACATTTAAAGCCCATGAATACTGCTACTAAAAAACTCTGTGAGTGATTCAGATGGATTTACAGTGTATCCACTGCAAAAATTTAGCTGAAGATAGACTTAAATATGAGGGACTCCTACACTGCATTATAAGCACAGGCTATATTGCACTCCCTCACTTGCGTGTATCATGTGTATCCAATTTATTTATTCGCTCTAAGCATTTATATCTCACAAAATGGACAAAATCAGCCCTACTGATCAGCTCATAAAAAGCACATCTACAGTAAAGCAAAATAAATGTATCTTACCACGTAATAGCCTGTCATACAGGAATAGTTGAAACCATGTTCCCATTTTTTCCAGTGTCAAATGAAGATTTTTTTTTTGTCGTGTCAGGAGTGACCTGAGAAACTGCAAGTCGCTTCTGGTGTAAGAGAATTGGCCGTCTGCAAGGACATTGCCCAGGGGACGCCCGGATGATTTTTGATGTTTTATCATCCTTGTGGGAGGCTTCTCTCATGCCCCTGCATGAGGAGCTGGAGCTGATAGAGGGAGCTCATCCACCTCTCCCCGGATTTGAACCTGCGACCTGTCGGTCTTTAGTCCTGCCGGCACAAGGGTTTAACCCACTGCGCCACCGGGGGCTCCAAATGAAGATTTAAACCAGCATCAAATGATAATGTCACAGGGAGATTGAGCAAAGTATGGCACTCCAGATGTTGCTGGAATACAACTTTAACTGACTACGCTGCCTAGGATTGATGGAAGCCATTGACCATCGATGAATAACTCCATGGAGACCAATTTCTTCCCTGCTCAACACACCTCCAGTGGTCAGATATCATTAACAGTACTCCCAAATACCTCTGTCTTCATCTAATTCCTTCTCACAAATGGCATTCAGAAGTGAAGTTGTGTCATCTTCTATTACCATTGTGAGAAAGATCCCAATAGAAATAGAGGTATTTGGTAAACATATTCAAAGGTACCTGTGTTGGTCATGAGGCAAAATACCACAAGAGCTGTTGTTAAGACAGTTGACATTTTATTATGTGCATTTTACTGCTCTTTGTCCCTAGTAGCCACATGGTCAAGAAGGGTCATAACCTCTGCCTGTATTGATACGTGTCTAGACCAAGCATGGGCAAACTTCGGCCCTCCAGGTGTTTTGGACTTCCACAATTCCCCACAGCCTGCCAGGTGTGGGAGTTGAAGTCCAAAACACCTGGAGGGCTGAAGTTTGCTCATGCTTGGTCTAGACAATATTAACAAACAACAGAAACAAAATGAAGGTCTATAGTGAAGCTTTGAAAGCCCGCATGATGTACTTGCTGCACATTTGTTGGCCAATAAAGTCATTATTCTTTTATGGATTTTGGGTTATGAAGCATTTGATGGTGCTCAATGATTTATCGTATGTGGGACATGAATGTACACATTCTGGGTACTCTCCATGCAATTTCAGAACAAAAAAATGTCTGGAAATTGCATCAATTTTTTAAAATGGGAAAGGAAACTTTGGAGGACAGTTGGAGGATTTCAGGGACCACAACACTGGAATCCACAGGTCACAGTCTGAGAGGCTTAGTGTACCCACCCATCCCTATTCTAAGTCAAACACAACTGGACGTCAAACAACTGGTTTATTCAAGCCACGGCAGGGGAACTTTGAAGCAGTGTGACTTATAACGGTTCCTTATCAGGCTCATCCAATATTTGGCAATCTTGCACTTATGGGGATGGGAAATCAAAGAATGGCAGCTTCCAAGAAATATAGCCAACACCGAAGGGAAGTGTAGAGCGCCATCTGAGCCTTTGATCAATGACCAATCAAGGTAAGAAATGTGGCCATATCCCTGAAGTCAACGAACTCATAAAAGTTTTGGGGAACAAAATCTACACCCATTCTTTTTCCTTTCCCCACCCTAGAATGAAAGGAGCACAGCCTCTTGGAGCAAGAAGTGCACATCCCAAGCGTAACTACTTTTATCTTGTTTATGAAGGCAGAAATTGGGACAAGGTACATATCAGAGGCCCACATTAGCAGGAGGTCCAAAAACAATGGTCTTGCTACGTCTGTAGTAACTTGAGCATCCATGGATTTTGCAATTATGGGAGTCCTGGGAACAAACTCCAGCAGATACAAAGGATCCACTATGTTAGTATCCGCCACCATAGATAATGTTTTGCTTGCTTGCTTTCATGTTGCAAGTCGCTTCTGGAGTGAGAGAATCAGCTGTCTACGGAGACGTTGCCCAGGGGACACCCGGATGTCTTGCAATCCTGCGAGGAGGCTTCTCTCATTTCCCAAAATGGAACACCCCAGCAAGTGAGAGTCCAAAAGTGGCAGGCTCAAACCCAGAATCTCCATCAATGGCTGATACCAAATGAGAGACTCCCCCCTGGGCACACAGAAAACTGGGCGACTTGGAAGGTGCTGAACAGACTGTGCTCTGGCACCATGAGATGCAGAGCCAACCTTAGGAAATGGGGCTACAAAGTGGAATCCACGACATGCGAGTGTGGAGAAGAGCAAACCACAGACCACCTGCTGCAATGCAACCTGAGCCCTGCCACATGCACAATGGAGGACCTTCTTGCAGCAACACCAGAGGCACTCCAAGTGGCCAGCTACTGGTCAAAGGACATTTAATCAACTACCAAGCTTGCAAACTTTGTGTTTTGTGTGTTTGTTTTGTTTGCTTTCTTAAAAATGTAATACAAATGTCTGGTTGCTCCTGACACGATAAATAAATAAACCATAGATAATTCCTACTATCTATTTTAGACTGTAAATACGGGGCATATATCATATGTGTGGCATAAATAAATGCACTGATGCAACAATCCCTTCCCGCCAAAACCATAATACTGGTAGGAAAATACATGAGAACATGGCAACAGCTTTATACCAAGGTAGTTCAACCAAGTCTGGGAAGAAAACAGCATATTCAATTTCCCCCCAAATAGATCTCTTATTAACATGGATCTTGAATGTAGGAAATGTTTGTTTAGCCTCAGGTATAATATTTCTATCCCTCTGCTACATCTTTTGTAGAAAAGGTCACCAATAGCTATTTCTCCTAAGTCAATATTTCCTCTTTTTATAATTAACAGGAAATAAGTTGAAGCTGAATGTCAAAGAATAGCCTTAAAAAGTGTGTGTTAGTGTGTAAGTGTCTGGAAAATAAATGTTTTGAAATATTCTGTTTAATTACACAGTCTGTACTTGAATAATCTTGGAAACTCTCAAAGTGTGCTATTGTGTAAAACATTTTAGCAGTTTCTTGTGTGTTGGAGTGTGAGAGGGATATAGGGGCATCTTTTAAACTATTTTAACGAATGCAGAGTTTGGAGGACAAAGGAAGAAAGCAGGAGAGAAGCAGAAAAAAAATCTTCTGCTTGATGTAATAACAAAAGAAAAACAGTAATTAAAACCCCTACTCAGTCCTATTAACTTAAATTCTGCTTACATATGCCATAGTGACTTCTATAAACAAGCCTCTGTTTTCAAAGACTGCAGTACTAATAATGTAATGTAATTCAAAACATTTAGGTCAGAACAGCCGAGGGAGGTGATCACAGATCAGCACATTTTGGTGTGATTTATGCTCACGCTCTCCTGATTTAGATTTCAACTTGAATATACCTGCACAACATTGTTTCCAGCAAACGTTGCTCTTTTCCATATTCGACCTCTGCTCAGGGCCTCATTTAACAACTGGGCCAGTTTCCGCTCCATCTCAGCCTGGAAAACCTCCTCTTGAATTTTCCGACTGACAACACCCAGGACAACTACATTGAAATAAGCACACATATAATTTCTGAGAATGCAGTTTCAAATCATGGACAATCTGCACAGTCAAGTGAATAGAAAACAAAGATGTGAAGACTTGGGATAGTAGCAGATACACAACTGTTAACCAATGGATATTGATATATTGTATTTGTTGAAATCTATAACCTGGATACTTACATTAATCATTCCTTATATCCATTTGATCTTTATATAACTATAGGACTTTCTGTGCACTAGTAAAGGAGATAGTGATAAAGGTGAGATATAGAGATAGTAAAAAAGAAATGGGCAAACTACTAAGGTAGAAAATTGGGACACAATATATTACTTGTTAAGTGACTCTGAAATTATTTCGAAAAAAGCTGGGGTAGAAACATCTTAATGAATCATTTCACTTCCTATGACATTTTCTTCCTTTTTTCATCTTCAAGCTTTGCTCACTCAGTTCTTTCTGATGCCTAACTTTATTCCTTATAATTCAGAGGATTATATGACCCATATAATCCTCTGAATGATCTGTCTTTAACGGGCATGCCATCCACCGCCCAGCCACTGGAACACTGCGTGGGGTGCCTCCATGGCCTCACCACGCAGCTTCTTTAATGGACACTCCGCCACAACCTGTCCATTGGAATGCCTGCATGGGGTGCCTCATGGACCCCGCTACCTTGATGCCATGCTGTTGGTGCTTCGAATTCAGGAGAGTAACTTTGTTTTTTGGGTTGCCCCTCCTTGCCTGTTGCCTGCTGCTTTTGGCTACTTATGCCATCAACCACTTAGGTTGAGATTGAATGTTTACTTTTAAGCTGTTTTATTGTACTTAGATTTCAATTCTTTAAATTGACATGTTAACTGTTTAAATTGATAGGTAAAGGTAAAGCTTTTCCCCTGACATTAAGTCCAGTCGTGTCCGACTCTGGGGGTTGGTGCTGATCTCAATTTCTAAGCCAAACAGCCAGCGTTATCCGTAGATACCTCCTAGGTCATGTGGCCGGCATTACTGCATGGAGCACCGTTACCTTCTCGCCGGAGATGTCCCTATTGATCTACTCACATTTTCATGTTTTCAAACTGCTAGGTTGGCAGAAGCTGGGATCTCACGCTGCTCCCCGGATTCAAACCTGTGAACTTTTGGTTGGCAAGTTCAGCAGCTCAGCAGTTTAACCCACTGTGCCACCGAGGACTCCATTGATATGTTATGTTTATTACTGCATGTATAATGTGGAATTGTATGCTATGGTCTGTAAGCTGCCCTAAGTCCCCCAACAGGATGAGAAGGGCGAGGTATAAATATAGTATAATTATTATTTTTATTATTATTATTTTAAAATATCTGGCACAGCTTTTGAAAAACATTTAATTTTACTTAGCATTTTTACATTTAAATACCTATCTAAGGATATTTGCAGTCTTCATATCAGCATGTCTCCTCCTTCAATATCTCCTCTCCCATGTACTTATTTCTATGTTGGAAATGCATCAAAGTGATAGCTGCAAAACTGGGACAAACAGCTGAACGCAGTGGGGGTTCTTTTGAAAAAAGCATGCAAAGAATCAGGATGTATTTTACATGCAGAAATTCTATGCTCAATCACTCTCAAACAAAAAATCTGTCTTTTCGGAGAGATGACATTATTACTTTAAAATCATGTATAATGTACATGTATATAAAATATAATTGCTAAGCTCTCTTTTTTTCCACTGTTGTGTATTCCTTTTTCACTAGCATTTTGTAGAAGGGATGCAATTAATCAAAAAAGAGAAGGATGTTGCAATAATTTCAACACGCACACACATCCACGGTAGTACCATTTTGTCACAGGGTGAGTTTAATTACAGGTTACAGAAAGAAGAGAGCAGCTCAACACAAGTGTGCTATTTCTGACAGCTGTACAGTCCTAGGGTTCTTCATAACATAGCATTTCACTCGTAGACACCAGAAGCGACTTGCAGTTTCTCAAGTCGCTCCTGACACGACCAAAAAAACCAAAAAAAAAAAAACCAACAACTCATAGACAGCAAATGCAGTAGTGTTAGAGTACAAGTTCAATTTCTGGATAAGCAGTTTTAGTCTGGGCCAAAGGGGAAAAGTATGCACATTCGGTAGAGAAAAAATATTGCTTGATCAGGAACTGATCAGGCAAAACCTGCCAGATCAAGAATTGACAGATGCCATAGTCTCAGTGAAGATAGTAGTAAATAGCTTATAGGTGGGCTTCAAAATGGAAATTCTAGAAAGGTTCTCTAATAGAAAGTACTAAACAACAAATCCTATGGGCTACTCTGCCCTTTCTCTTGGAGCACTGCCCTATCCTTGTTTCTGTTGCTTTCAATTTGTAGAGTCTAGGACTGGCTCTATTGGCGGGAAGGATACTAGAGACAAAGCTGAAGTACTTTGGCCACATCATGAGGAGACAGAAAATCCTAGAGAAGACAATTATGCTGGGGAAAGTGGAAGGTAAAAGGAAGAGGGGCCGACCAAGGGCAAGATGGATGGATGACATCCTTGAAGTGACTGGACTGGCCTTGAAGGAGCTGGGGGTGGTGACGGCCGACAGGGAGCTCTGGCATGAGCTGGTCCATGAGGTCACGAAGAGTCAGAGACGACTGAACGAATGAACAATAAAAAAGGACTGGCTCAGAAAATGATTCAAGTGGATTAGGAAGAAAACCGGACTCTTTTCTGAATCAATCCAAAGTGAGCCAGGAGTAGTTTGCCCATCACCATTTAGAACTGCAAACACCACTTTGAAAAATTAATTGTAGGTTCTTATATTACCCAGCTAATAGGTTCTCATGAAAGCGATTCAGTACCTACCCGTTCTCACCCAGGAAGACTTCATCAGATGAGATGTGTTCAGCTGAGGGTAATAAACAGCTAGAAGGAAATAACAAGAGAGACCATTGGGAAATATGTATTAAAAGACTTAGAAGATCACAGCCCATAATCAAGTAACTATTTTATAACTCATTCTGAGACAGTAGAACAAAATTGGCCAAGGTCCTGGGGAAAGTCAATTGACCAAGATAATAATCACTGCCAGTTCTGCTTTCTAACCATTAAACTAAATTAATTAAATTCCCACAGAGCAATCATATGCTTGCATATTATGAGAGAGTGGAAGAGAGGGAGAAAGCTAAATTGCCAAATTAGAAAATTGGATAGTTTATATGCAGAAAGGTCAATTTTTCTACCTAGGTGTACTACCTTCTGGGATCCCAAGGCTATGTACATTCCTATCAAATATAAAAAAAATGTTTTTAGCCCTTGAAGAAAATGAGAAAAGCTTCTGAGTCAAAGTTTTAACTTTTACAACAAACAAGGCTATAGTCATGCTGATCTGTTTTAGCAAAAGAGAGAAAAGGGATGGGGGAAAGGAAGCTTTAATAGCACCTCTAAGACTAATTAATAAAGTGTATTTCTCCATAAGTACTGGAGCTCCCGGTGGCGCAATGGATCGAACCCTTGTGCTGGCAGGACTGAAGACCAATAGGGCAGAGGTTCGAATCAGGGGAAAGTGCGGGTGAGCTCTCTTTGTCAGCTTCAGTTCCCCCCTGCAGGTTATGAGAGAAATCTCCCACAAGGATAGTAAAACATCAAAACATCTGGGCATCCCCTGGGCAACATCATTGTAGACAGCCAATTCTCTCACACTAGAAGCAACTTGCAGTTTCTCAAATTGCTCCTGACACACACAAAAAGCATAAGTATGCTTTTCATGGTAATCGCATCTGTTAAAATGGAGTGGAGTCCAAGAAAATGTTTACTAAAATATATCTATTAGTTTCAAAGATCCTTCTTTCACCAATTTCCCCTTTGCAGTGAAATCATTTCATCATAATTTATGTCTTTTAAGTCAGTATGCATCTTATGCATCTTCTAGTGCTAAACACTTAACATCAGTATACATACAAAGCATATTTTACCAAGCACCTGGAAGTTACTCTGGACTACAACTTCCAAAATCCTCAGCTAGCATGGGAAACTTATAGTACAAAAAATTACTTTTCCATGTTCAGAATATAGGAATATTTCTCTTGTATTTAAGGGGACAATAATCATAGTGAGGAATATGTTTTTAAAATGGTTAACTGTGACCATAGTATACAATCCTATTTTATATTAAAATATATTGATGCTGATCAGATCCACTTAAAGCATTTTTTAAAAATCTGGGTAACAAAAATATTTCAGGTTTAAAATACATTAAACTGAGTAGGATTGCAAGAAAGCAAAAAACATTGTATTCCATGAATACTCACGTTCTGCAATCTGTTGTACAGGAAAACCCATGTAAAAACTGAATTCTACCACAGACAGATTCCTCAGCAGTTCACTGACTTCAGAACCATTTAAGAATCCACGTTTCTCTCGAATGGCAAATATAATATGCACAGGGCCTTGCCGAAATACACCTCTAGACCTACCCAGAGTTATATTCAATATCTGAAAAGATTACAAAAAGAAAGTAAACACAATTAGCACTGCTCTTTTTTTTTTTTTGCTTGCTCCCAAAATGCAAAAATAACAAAGGACACATAGCTCAACAGAGGTTCAATAGTTTCTGGCTGCCTCAATTCCTATAGCTGATTCAATTGTGTTTAAATGGTACGGTACAGTGGCTAAAACCCCAATATATAGAATCAGAAAGCCATAGACCAGCCGCTCTTCTTTGGTTTCAACCTTCTGTCTTCAGTATAGTCACCTTTTTCTGGAGTGGCGTAATGAGCTAAACCCTTGTTCAGGGCAGGACTGTTGACCGAAAGGTCAGCGGTGCAAATCCGGGGAATGGGGTGGGCATCCACCTGTCAGCTCCAGCTTCTCATACGGGGACATGAGAGAAGCCTCCCACAGGATGGTAAAACATCAGAGCGTCCCCTGGACAATGTCCTTACAGACAGCCAATTCTCTCATACCAGAAGCGATTTGCAGTTTCTCAAGTCACTCCTCTCACACACAAAAATCAAGTCGCTCCTGACACATACACACACATACACACAAAACCCTTCTTCTGGATATGTTCCAGGTTGATATCCTTCATTTTCACACTGTTGTTTATTCCACAGAACTAGAAACTTCATGTCAGATCTGACCCAAGCAGAATAGTGGTGATATTGTTTCCCTTCATTTTGACACTATAGTTCTGTTGATGAAGCCCAGAGTTGTATTGGGCTTTCTTCCTAACACATCACATTGTTGGCTGATGTTTAGCTTGCATTCCATTAAAATCTTAAAATCCTCTTCAGCCATACTGTCATGAACTTAGATATCACCCATCCTATATTCACACTGCTGATTTTTCCTACCTAGATGTAAAATCTTAAATATATTCCTATTGACATTCAATTCTAGCCAAGTTTTCCAATCTGTTATGATCCTCTTGAATCCTGATACTTTTTTCATATACAGTTATTAGCAATTTAGTAAGATCTGAAAATTTCATGAATACACCCACTAAAACTTCAATCTATATTAAAGAACTAAGATTACTTAAGGATACTGATGATGTTCATGGTGGCAACACTAGTAATTATATCAAATAGTCCTGTTAAAAATTGTGGTCTATAGACCAATGTCAGCCCATGAACCATCAGTTGGCGGTCCCTGGAGAATTTCCAGAATGACAGAAAGAATTCTAGCCAATGAAGCACAACTATACATGGGTCTCTGCCACACCGTGGGGGAAACCCTGCTGCTGCTGAGGAGGCAGAACTACCAGAGGCAATGGCAACAACTTCCTGAGAAACCAACATTCAGAGTAATGTTGCACATTCAGGGCAAAGCTCCTTCCCAGCTATGACGAGCAGCTGACTGGAGAGTCCTTCTACTTATTCCATCCTGAGCTTGTTCTGTTGTCTTTTCCCCAAGCCATTTCGGACTGGGTGTTAGCATTGCAATGAGGGAGAAGAACAGAGGTGCTTTCCCTAAATTGTCCCATGTTTCCTTGAAAGTTGTGCTGCCCTTCTATTTAGTCTCCTGTTCACAAATGCAGGGGTGAAAAGAATTCAAGTAGTGAAGAAAGTTTCCAGTCTTCTTCAGTCTGATCAAGCTTGCAAATCATAGAATCATTGAGTTGGAAGAGACCTCGTGGGCCATCCAGTCCAATCCCCTGCCAAGAAGCAGGAAAATCGCATTCAAAGCATATGCTTGCTGTTTAACTCCCAGGGAGGCAAGCAGAGGAAGAAGTGGCAGAATGGCAAGCATAAAGCCTTTTCGGTTGTTGTAGGTTTTTTTCGGGCTATATGGTCATGGTCTAGAGGCATTCTCTCCTGACATTTTGCCTGCATCTATGGCAAGCATCCACTACCTCTGAGGATGCTTGCCATAGATGCAGGCGAAACGTCAGGAGAGAATGCCTCTAGACCATGGCCATATAGCCTGAAAAAACCTACAACAACCCAGTGATCCCGGCCATGAAAGCCTTTGACAATACATAAAGCCTTTTATTTCTTTTGGAGAATAGGGAAGAGTAGTAAAAGAAACTGAAAAGAAGAGTTGAGTGAAGTATGGTGGGATTTTGGTATCTGGAAGAATTTGATTCCAGCATTTTCCAGGAAGCAGTGCCAGATTGACCATTGTGTTTAAGTGTGCTTAAGCACAGGGGCCCATTGGCTGGGGGAGGGGGGGTCATCTTCCTGCCAAAAAATTATGATGGATTTTGCTTATATGACGCAATTTTAAATTTTACTGCCAGTGAGTACCAGAATTTGTGGGTGCCAGTCCCATTATATACAATGGTATATTAAAATGGTGTCCAGTATATGAAATGGCAAAATCAAAGTTTGCTTTTGGGGATTTTTAGGCCGGGGGGTGGGAGGAATATTTTCAAATTGTGGGTGTTTGAATCTGGGGATGCAAAATCTGTGGATACAGAGACCAAATAGAGATGCATCCTATTAGAGCAGCAGGCAGGAATAAAGCCTTTCTAGGACCTACCCTCCCTACTGGGCATATGAAAAATGTCTATCTTATTTCTGCTGATTAGAGAGAGTAAAACAACCCATTCAAATGATGCTACTCCCACCACAGGTGTAACTAGATTCAGTGCTGGAAAAACTTCAGAAAAAAAAAATCTCACCTGTACAGTAACATTGGAATTGTCCAAGTGATGTTTCCTTACTTCCATAAACGCAACTGTCAGCCCTTTTTCAATGCGCAGGGTGAAGTTACAGAGCCGACTATCAACACTTTGAGGCACAAACTGAAGTACTAGAAACAGAAAGACAAATGTCAATGTGACTAAATCTAAGTAAAGATCTGGACAAAGTACTTACACCACAAGAGCCTAGTGTCTCTCAGATACAATATTTGCCATTCCAGCTCTAAAATTACAAGGTATTTCTGCTGCCTAAATAGTCAGAAATACAAGCTCAGTGGACCTAACTGACTGTGCCTAGAAATGAATGCAGTGCATTGCTCCCTTTCATACAGCTTAATAAAATCCCACATTATCTGCTTTGAACTGGAATATATGGCAGTGTGGACACAGATAACCCAGTTCAAAACAGATATTGTGGGATTTTCTGCCTTAATATTCTGGAATATAGAGCTGTGTGGAAGGTTTGTTTCCAGCTACAGGTCTTTTTCACCCCAATCTAGGGACCACAACTCCCATCAGCTTTATAATACATAGCCAATGAAGAGGGATGATAGGAATATCTCTCTAGCAAAATCATGGGTTGTGTTGGACAGCAATTCCCTACCTGTGCGCCAGAAACTATTTGCACATTTACTTGCTGCTCTGTAGAGCTGTACATTTGTTTGATTAGTGGTGATATTTTAATTGGTGTTGAAACTCTAGTATCTGAATCCAAGGACTTGTGACAAAGCAAATACTCTATTTCTACATGACTTTGATAATCACATGTCTTCATTTAGTCTCAAGATATTACAGAGTGCTCCCTGAACATCAAATAAATTCATGAGTTCCATATATTATGAGGAACAATAACTAATTATTGTGTACCATAAGAAAACTGCCAATTATTTTCTTGCTAATGCCAAAGTGATTAGAGTCGTTGCTAAACCTTACACTATACATTTCCATTGTGTACTGGCATAGCAATATTATCTGCAAGCCAAAGTTATAGCTACATGAATTTACCTCCTCCTTCACCACCCTTTTACAGGCACATAATAATATATCAACATGATTTGATAAAGATACTGCTCTGAATCTTATTGGTTATCTTAACTAAAGTACAACTACTAAATAAAATGGATTTACAAATGCATTAATTCAGTATTCAGCAACTGATTTAATGGGTTTACTGTATTTGTACCAATTGGATTTAGGTCTCATGTTGTATCCCACAACATAATTCAAATTAACGATGCTAAATTGCTTTGTTTCATTTCATGACAAAAACCACAAGGGTGATATAGTTTAGCTTACCGGTCTGCACCTGGAACTTGTGATCAGGAACAGGGAAAGAGGGCTGCAAGGATGAAATGGCAGGTATCTGACCATGAAGAAGACTGCTGTTCACAAGAGCATTGATGACAGCAACTGCTGTGTAAACATAAGGACCTGAGGTCACCAGAAAAGAGAATTTGGGGGAAAGACCATAAACCTGTTAAAAAGAAACAGAAAAGAGGGGTTTAAAGCCCAAATAACGTATGCTGTATTACTGTATGTATTAAGAAAAACACTATGTTTTAGTTGGCAAAGTATTCTGCAAACAATCCCCGTCAGTCCTCCACATTTGTGGGTGTAACTTTTGCAGATTTTGATTTGATTCATATGGTTTCTCTAAGAATCACTAGGCCACCCAGTGTGACTCTATGGTCAACATCCAGTAGACAACAACCATTGTATTGCACTGGAGGACTAAACAGATTTCTGGAAAGGTGTTTTCTCAGGCAAAAAAATATATAGTGTTTTTAGTCATAGTTTTTCCATTTCTGTAGGACTCCTGCACCCCAGTTCCAGCAAATGTGGAGAGCTGACTGTACTGTACATTTCAAGACCATCAACTTTGCCTTCTATATATCAGCAATATACAGGAGACTATGTTATAGCTCACTGTTCGATAAGGGGAGGACTGGCACAGATTTTTTCCCCTTAGGTGGGCCATCCATCTTTCTTTCTTTCTTTCTTTCTTTCTTTCTTTCTTTCTTTCTTTCTTTCTTTCTTTCTCTCTCTATTTCGTTCGTTCGTTCCTGGGAACTCACCAGCAGCTTGCGGGCCACTCCTTTGAGTAGCAATGCTGCAGAGTACACCCAAAGTATTTAATCTTTATGAATCTTTGAAATGGATATATGGACAAAGATACGTCTATTTTAACTAGCAGACAAGATTGGTTCCTATAAATTTTTGATTATATCCTCTATAATACTCTTTCAACACCAGTTAATGTGTTCCTTTTCTTCCAGTTAATATCACTTTTGCATTATTTCATTCAAACAGTAATAAACCTCCACTTTTCTACTCTCTATAGACAAAGCATAATACCTAATCCAACTGAAATAACCACAACAAAGCATTTTTTATCTTTATTAACATAACAGTTTGCTTTTATGATGTTTAGCAGAGCTAATAATACATAAGAAGATAAATAGAAGAACAAAAAATAAATGAACTAGCTGTTAGTTGAAAAGATGCTTCCAAATAACTTGAAATTAGGGGTTGTTTTGGTTTCCTTGCACACAACACTTAAAAGTTGGAATGATATCCCGAATATGGCATCATTTTGTTACCCATCATGCAGTCACATCCTAAAAAAGCATGCTTCCAGCAATGAATCATAGAATCATAAAATTGGAAGAGACCTCGTGGGCCATCCAGTCCAACACCCTGCCAAGAAGCAGGAAAATTGCATTCAAAGCACCCCCGACAGATGGCCATCCAGCCTCTGTTGAAAAGCCTCCAAAGAGGGAGACTCCATCACACTCTGGGGCAGAGAGTTCCACTGCTGAACAGCTCTCACAATGGGAACAGAAGAGGAGGGGTCCAAATTCAAAGAGTAAAAGCCCCTTTAATAACTTAAATATTTCTCAATTATTTAATATTTTAATCTTCTTTTAAATACTGTGATTGGTTTTAGCTGCATTTTGTTTAAGCTTCTGTTTTAAGCCACTTTGGATGTTATATTACAGAAAAGGCAGGATATAGATACATAAAATAAAGTAATAATATACATAATACAACATGTAAAGATATTAAGGAACGGTGCTTGTTCAAATTATGCAGTATATGGCTAGCTAACATGTAGAGTTTGACAGTAACCCAAGTTCATTTTCAGGAAGATGTTCCACCCTAGGGAATGCATTTTTCCATGATAGCTGACAACAACTCATTAGTGCAGAGTTATTAAGCTCCGTAGCAGTTAATCTCAAAACATAGTAACCTTGGCAGCACTTCATTAAGAGGCACAGATCATCTTGAGAAAAGTAAGAACTCTCCAGATTAAAAATGTTGCAGTTACAAACAAATGCCACCATCCACCCATGATGAAGAGTGGCTTTCATTTGTAACACAGTTCAATCACATTTCAAACATGAGTAGGAATACTGGGAAGGGGATTGGACTGGATTGTCCTTGTGGTCTTTTCCATCAATACGATTTCCTATCATTTCATAACTTCTTTGCCCAGTGAGACTCACAGAAAATTAAGCCAATTTTGGAAGGTTTCGTGCATGACAGATTAGAAAAGGAGACCTATAATTGCCCAAAGCACAAATTTAATCAGCAAAAAGATTCCCAATGTAAATAAGGGGGGGGGGGGAATGTAAATACACACAGTACAATCAGCCCTTCACATTCACATTAAGGGCATGGGGCACAAGCCATCCTCCAAGAAGAAAGTAAAAAATCCCTGTAAATTAAAGAATTGATATATTTTTTTTACTTGAGAGAACATTCTCTAGAAATCCTTAGATTCTCTAGTATGGCTCTATGGTCAAGCTCCACCAGATGTTAATAGCAGCAGCAACAGCAACAATAGTAATGGTATTTTTTACTTGCCTCTCTTTAAAGCAGGGCACAATACAATTAAAAACACACCATCAGCCTCATAATTGTACTGAAGGACCTAGAGATTCGTAGAGATGTCTATAGTAGCACTAGAAGATCTAGAGATTCCTAGATAGAACATTTTAAATCCATGCAAAATCAAATCTGCAAAAGTAAAATCTGGAAAATGGAGTATCAACTGTGAATAGTAAGACAGAAGTAAGTAACTGTGACTCTCAAGACACCTTTTTGCCTACAATTATCCCATGCCTTATTCAGCATCACTAATGGTAAAAGATTATGGTCACTAAATGTAAAGGTAAAGTCTCCCCTTTAAGTCGAGTTGAGTCCGGCTCGGGGGGGGGGGGGGGGGGGGCTCATCTCCATTTCTAAGCCGAAGAGCCAGTGTTGTCCGTAGACACTTCCTAGGGTAATGTGGCCGGCATGACTGCATGGAGCACCGTTACCTACCCGCTGAAGCAGTACCTATTGATCTACTCACAGTTGCATGTTTTTGAACTGCTAAGATTGGCAGAAGCTGGGGCTAGCAATGGGAGCTCACCCCATTTAGCGGATTCAAACCGCTGACCTTCTGGTCAGCAAGTTCAGCAGCTTAGCAGTTTATCCCACTGCACCACCTCTGCTCCTGACTACAGGCCCCCAAATAATGCCATAGTTGTTCACCTACTGCAATAATGCCAGGGTGCAAACTTTAATAATGTACCTGAATTATGCCATAACTGGTATCAGTTCTTCTATAATTTATGTGCTACAGAAAATGCTAGATATCTATCTAGGCTTTGACCAGCAAAAATCCGTGTGATTCACTGTAGGAGGATCTTTGACATGAAAGCAGCACTGCTCTGAAGTGGTTGTTGTGAATTTAAGCATGCAGAGGAGAACTGTACAAATCTTTCCTCCTCTGTGCTAATGCTGTGTTGCGCTCAGAGAGGCAAATAGATTTAAAGCCCTGTTCTGGGACTTCCTGAACGAGCAAACAAAGACAGGACAAATTCACCATTGCACTGACACTTCATAAACCATCATGTTAATACTGGCACAGAAAAAAAGGTTTACCGACCGCACAAAGGATTAGGACTGAGATGCCAGTTAAATTCATCATCTATATTCATGCAATCCCTATCTCCCTCTCAAATATCCGTGGGAAGATGTCTCTAGTCTGTGCAATTATATATAACGTCCTTCTTCCATATACATCACATTGTGTATTAATAAGCACTTACCTCCAGTTCTACTTGTCTCCTAAACTCGGCTTTCAAGATTTCTTTGATCGATTTACTGACATTTTCTAATACAGATTTCCGGGCAAGTGCTAGAAATGCAAATCGATTAACAAATTTAGTTTTAATCATGCATATAATGGTTTAAATACAGCAATTCAAATAGTGCAGACTGAGATATAACTTTGAAGAAATACCTGGCAATAGGAAAGTAGTGCTTGCAGATTTGCAGGGAAATGTATAAAACTAAGAGCCAATTCTTACTACACATTCAGCAACTGAGCACAGATACATAAGCTCTCTCTCTCTATGTTTCTTTTCAAATCTAAAGTGTTGTAGATTAAAAATGGAGTATAACTTTAATATATTCAAGATAAGGGGCTAATCTTTTTGCTTGATGCTTTTAAGTATTTAATAGCTCTGAATGTATAAAACATATGCAAACACATATTTTCAGTCCTGAGAAGAAATATCTGTAACACAGTGGGTTAAACCCTTGTGCCGGCAAGACTGAAGACCAACAGGTCAGAGGTTCAAATCCAGGGAGAGCACAGATGAGCTCCCTCTATCAGCTTCTCATGCGGGGACATGAGAGAAGCCTCCCACAAGGATGGTAACATGTGCTGTCGCACGCTGGGCCTGTACATAAGACTGTAGACAGGACATAAATTCTGTGTGCCCAACGGAACTCCGGGGCTGCCTCAGATTAAAGGCCTTTGGATTTCCTTAAACAGAGTCTTTAGATTGCTTAAAGGTTCAACAAAGTTCTTTATTATTGAAATCAAACAGGTACTTCAAGGCTTTCTTACTAGTCTATTGGCTCTCTCAATCTTGTCCAGAGGGGACAGGCACTATCTTCATAACTGTATTTTAACTAATGGGAGAATCCTTAACCTCTTATCTGGGCAGTCTGTCTTTGTCTCTGTCGGCGTGGAGCCCCTACACCCGGTACCAACTGCTTCTGGCTGCCGCGAGTGACGCTTACCAAGCAGAGCTTTGTAGACTTCCAGGGGAAAAGAAGGTGTTCAGGTTTCAGTGATGGCTGGCTGAAGTGCTGTGGGAACGGATTCCCTCAGCAAAGGAGCTGTAAGGCTGTAAAATCCTCAGCAAAAGAGCTGTGCTGAGACTGCATCTCTCTGGCCAAGCTATGGGGCTGTATCTCCCCGGCCAAGCTGTAGAAGACGAAGCTTTCTACAGGAGCTCCTGGTTTTATGTCCTGTATGAAAGGCTTCTCTGTGTGGACTGACCCAAAATGGCTCCTATTCCCTCCAAAGCCCAAAAGGGGGGCGGGACCAGGGGACCTAATGACAATTGACAGGTCATAGATCCAATAAATGCAAACTAAGGAAAGCCATCTAACTGCAAAGGCATAGTACATTAAAATACATGCAGTAATCAACAAATAGCAAGATAAGCTGGAGCTCCTGGTGCGGCTGTACCAGAACATAACACATAAAAACATCTAGGCGTCCCCTGGGCAACGTCCTTGCAGACGGCCAATTCTCTCACACCAGAAGCAATTTGCAGTTTCTCAAGTCACTCCTGACACGACAAAAAACCAAAGAACAAAATGTAAAGTGTGGAATAGGCTTGAACTTTGTTCATTCGTTCAGTCGTCTCCGACTCTTCGTGACCTCATGGACCAGCCCACGCCAGAGCTCCCTGTCGGCTGTTACCACCCCCAGCTCCCTCAAGGTCAGTCCAGTCACTTCAAGGATGCCATCCATCCATCTTGCCCTTGGTCGGCTTGAACTACATCATGATAAATCAACAGGCAGTGTTGTGTTTGGACATCTAACAGTAATTCCTCTCCTAGACTTAGAGGAGGGAGTCAGCATGGTGTAATGGTCTGAACATTAAATTAGGACTCAGGAGACCAATGTTCAAATCCCCACTCAGCCATGGAAACCCACTGCATGACCTTGCAAAAGTCATATTCTCTCAGCCTCAGAAGACAGCAAAGGCAAACTCCCCTCTGAACCAATTTTGCCAAGAAACCCATGATAGGCTTGCCTTTAGGGCTAACATGAGTTGGAATTGACTTGAAGCCACACAATAAAACCAGCCTCAGTGGACACCTGGGAAATAGTGGAAGAAGAAATGGTGGGAGTTTCTCACTGGATTAATGAGGGGACTTTAGAATTCATAGGGGATGTAATTACAGATCTATAAACAGAAACGCTGTCACTGTGCAAGGAAGATGAGGTTGATCTAGGCTGAGCCACATGCATGGTTCAATGCATTCTGGAGCTGTCTACTATGCCTGGCAGATAAATGAATCTCTTGGGGCCCTCAGTCTGATTTCATGAAGAGTAATCTGCTTCTTCTCTGGCAGAAGAGGCATATTCTGGGCATCCCTAAGGATAAGCAGAGGAAGCATATCTGGACATATACTATTGCTTCTTCACTTCTAATTCAAAACAGAGGTCATTAAGTTTTTCCACTGAAGGTCATGATATATAATACTGTGAATGAATGAATAAATATATAGATAGTTGTGGTTTGGGGAAATCTCGTATTGCTAGTCAGAACTGAGGCCACCATTTTATTTTATTTGGGTTTTCTCTAAGGATGATTTTAATAAACAAAGAAAACAATTGAATTTAACAAGAAGTGTCTTACCTGCTGTCACTAGGTATTTATCAGGAACTGTGATATCACAAATGTAGGGCTGTCTAGTTGTGGTAGCTGGAATGGTTGCCACTGTAACTTGTGGAGTAGTGCCCAATGAAGAGGTTGAAGAGGAAGAACCTGGTGTAATGCTGGTAATTTCAGAAAGGCCTGTTTTGCTACTAGAAGTAGTGACAGCAGAAGTTGTCACACTGGTAAATTCAGTTGTGTTAGTTTGTGCTGGAATGCCAGGTTCAACTGAAGTAATTACAGATGAAGGCATCACTGTAGGAACAGATGATGACCATATGCCCATTGATTCAGTTGGGGAGACTTTCATACTGCTCCTGTCGGTAGCCAATGGGGGGACATAGGGGGTAGTTGTAAAAAAATGTGTGTTAACAGCTGCCTCAGTGAAAGAGGAAACGAAACTGAGATTAGCAGTAGCACCAGTATCCTCCATAGTAGCAGTAGTAGTATAGAAAGGGGATGAAGATGTCAAGATAGTCGCTGTCTGTAGAGAGGAGAACCATGAGGTCACACGAGGTTCATCACCCAACATATTGCTAGTGAAAGTAGGCTCCAAAACAGAGGTGGACAGCACCTGCACAGGGCCACTTGTATCAATGGCTAAAGACGATGACTCATATGGAGAGGTAGCTTCTGAGAAAGCTGAGGTAAAGTGAAATTCAGATTCTATCAGTAAAGTTGAAGCTGGTTCCAGTGACACAGAGGAGTTCATATAGAAACTTGATGGCACTGTTGCAGAACTGTGCGTGACTGGAATGGAAAATGAGCTTGCATTAAACAATAAAGACTGCCATGAAAAAGGCTGGGACGTCTCTATGCCTGTGACATCAACAGCTGGGAGTTCAGAAGAACCCCAAGTAGGAGAACTGTCAAAAAGCACAGATGATGGAAGGAATGTGGGTGAAATGTGAGGTACAAATGTTGATAAATCACTTGGCATTAGCAGGAACGATGTGGTTGTTGCAGATGACAAATGTGACAAGACATCTGGCTCAGAGGGAGAAAGTGTTAATGAAAGGCTGGATGGAATGTCTGATCTATTTACAGCAGATTCTTCTGTGGGAAAACCCTCAACTGTTTTGCCAAGGAAATGTGTGGACATTGGTGGCATAAATTCAGGTGTTTCCAGTAGGCTTGAATTCATGATTGTCATGGATGGTGTGCTCACACTTTCAATGAAGGCAGACTCAGAGGGGACCATGGCAACACTGAATGGTACATCCTCCACAATGTTAGGTGTCAATGTAGCTGTTTTGGTCACAGAATTAGGAAAACTGTTGTAAGTATGTTCCAGTGATATAATATCAGAAGGCTGGACATAGGGAGGGAAAACTGACGTAAATATTACATCTTTAAGGCTATTTCCCATATCGTGTGACTTGGAGACTTCTGTAAACCTTGAAGACAAGGGAACAACTGGTCTTGAGGGAAAGGTAGTATCAAAGACTTCTGGAGGAGAATCCTGTACATCATACAAGTCACTAACTACTGATGTAAGTGGTGTAACGTTTATTTCTGAGGCCATGAATGACAGAGTCTCAACATAATCACCTGAGCCAACATCAGTTTCTGATGGCTGCACTGAAAAAACTGGCTCTGAAGGAACTGAGGTGAAGTCACAGTAGGAACATGAAGCATATGGTCTAGTGAAAGGCACTGGTCTTATAGAGTCACTGAAGACCTCAACTGGAGACGTTATTTCTGAACTGCCATGCAAAACTGGTGCCATACCTCTGGAGACTTGATAAGAAAACAATTCCTCACTGAAAAGATTCTCAGAAACAGTCAGAATGCTATCTGGGGGAGCAGGGAGGAAAACAAATGGAAGTTGTGTTGAAGACGTAACAGTCCCTGTGTTAGCTAATGAAACAGGAGTCTCCTTAAAAATGCTCAGAACAGATGTATTTCTTAAACCAAGAGTTCCTGTCACATGACTATTAATATTGTAATGGACCCCTGTGTATGTATCAAGGTTTCTTGTTGAAGTATCTGGTATAATTGGTGTATTCTCATTTATCTGTCTCATAAACATGGGCGAACTTTCCTCAACAGCTTCAGAAAGCAAAGATGTTGAGGACAGTGCATAAAAGGGGGAGGTCTCCCTTTCTTTTCCAGTTGTGTCATCCACCACAGCAACAGAATTTAAGTAATCCTGGGACAAGTCTCTGCTTGGAGTCAGAGTTACAGCTGTCAAGTCAAAAGGCTTCAAATATGGCAAAAAGTCATGGGGCACAGAATCAGCCCTTTGCAAAGGTGTTTGCAGTGTTTCTGTGTAGTCAAGCAGCGAGGATAGAATAGACGATGACGGCGCTAACAATAACGTTTGTGATGATGCTTTTGTTGGCTTCACTGGATAGGAACCTGAATGATAGTCCTCTGTAAAAGACTTTAAGGAAGGAGTCTGTTGTGCATTTGCAAATGCACTAATAAATCTATCGTCACTTAAGACTGCCTCATTGCTTGTTACTGAAATATCCAATGCTTGTATGTTTTGTCCATCCGCGATGGTAATTGTTCCTTCCTGGTCTGTTAAGGTCCCCTCAGAAGAAGTAACAGATGGCAAAAAATCCTCAGGAAACACATCATTTGCCTTGGGATCTATTGTGCTTTTTGTTAAGGCTTCATGTGTCATGCTGTTCATGGTGCTTTGACTTGGAAAAAGAGAGGAGATGTTCTGCTGCTCCAAATATATGTCATCTGAAAGGAAAAGAGGAGAGAGTAAGTTAGTCATGGTGTTAAATAAAATGAGTATTAACACATTGAAATGTCATATATGATCACTCAATGATTCAGTGTCTCTTAGACTGAGTCTGCAAAATCGAACATGTATAAAGCTAAAATGGTAGAAAAACATCACATTGTCTTCAAAGTGTCTATCTTAAGGAAATCTATTTACCACTGACTTGTTTAATAAGAGACCCCGTGCATGCCTCCAGCTTAATTTCTATGCACTACAGGGGTTTCTGGAACACATTTCAAGGGCCAAGTACTGGCCAATCCTATTACACCCCATCAGAACTGAAAATGAACCCATGACTGAGTGCCTCCACTCAAATTTCATCGGAAATGTTTGGGTACAACCTACTTACTCATTTAACAAAATTTCAAAGCTTCACAAACACTGTTTCCTAATCTGAACAACAAAGCTTTCTTCCTTCTGAGCATGAAGACATCAACTGGACTGAATGGAGGACTAGCTACAGAAAGAATATATAGAATAATATGATGCTCTGGAATTTCCTTCTTCAACCATGAAGGTGCCAGGGGTGGACAATCATATCCCATTCTTTCACCTCTATAGAAGTTTCCTGTATCACATGTAGCCTAAGCAAGTGGAGTACAGTGTTCCCTCACTTATCGCGGGTGTTATGTTCCAGGACCACCCGCGATAACTGAAAATCCGTGAAGTAGGGACGCTTTATTTACTGTAATGTTATTTTAATATTTATACATTATTTTAGTAGTTATACACTTTTTAAAGTATTTATAAACTTAAGATAAACCCTGTTTCTGTTTTACCGAGTACTCCCTCTTCCTCCACCTCCCCCCCCCCAATAGCTCCCCCCCCACCCACCTCCCTGTCAGTGCGGTGGCTGCGAAAGAGGGAAAGAAAGGAAGCAAGCCCTCCTTGCCTTTCCCTTCGCTGGGTGAAGAGAGAGAGTGTGAAGGAAAGGCCCTTCAAGGCTGAAGGGAGAGAGGGAGGACTGAGGAGAGAAAGCGCTTCGGAGAGCAGCAGTGGAAAAAACCCGCAAAAATACCACAATACATATTTAAAATTCATATTTATTGAAAAACGCAAAACAGTGAGTCCACTAAAAGCTAACCGTGACGTAGCAAGGGAACACTGTACACATGGTTATTATCTGGTTTCATTATGGATTTTTAGCTTCTCCTCCTTTATCTCTACAGACTGCCTTTCATATTGATATAATCTGAATTCATGACTGATAACTATCTTAAGTTATGTGATGGACAGCATAAACCCATGGACTGAGTATTCAGTTGTCTATACTACAATACTCCCATTCTTTAACATATACACACAATGAACGGAAAAGATGACCTAAAAGAGAGATTTCTGAACTGTGTTCTAAGGGCCACCTATGTTTTTCAGATACTTAGCAGGAGTTTCTCGATGGATTTATTCCCAATATGAGAAGGTACAACAAACAATAGTTAGAACAATATATACTACAACAGTAAATGAATTCTCTAAAACAGCTAGAAAGCATATTATGATAAAAGATTCTTCTGCCATCACTAATTAAAGGATGTCCATGGGTGAAAGGAGAGCAGAAAGTTGACCAATAAAGCTTCCAATTGGAAGAAATTTCATAATCTGGGAGCAGTTACTGAGAAGGCTTTATCCCATGTCTTCCCCAGACCAGCCTGGGAAGGTGGAGGATACACGCCTTTTCAGATAGTCTGGATCTAAACAGTGCTAGATTTAGGACAAATGAGGCCTCATGTTAAGTTATGAGGCCCCTTCTTTGGGCCCTGAAGGAGGTAGGACCAGTAGGTCTATACTGCCTGCTTTGTGGCACACTCCCATAGACTATCAACTCTATCATTATGTCTGGAATTGCTTCAAAACAGAATGCCTTCCCATTTAGAATTGCACCACATAAACAAAATCTATCGTAAAGATTTTTTGGGGCAGGAAGATGCCCCCCACCCTGGCCAATGAAGTCCTGTGCTTAAGCACATGTAAGCACAATGGTAAATCCAGCACTGGATCTAAGACATACAGGGATACAAAGGTCATAACCAACACTTTTAATTGTGCTTGGAAATTAGATAATGAGAAGACTTGGAAGACCACCTTCCCTGAAAGACAGCTCCAGCCCTGCTAGTCTTCAACTTTAAAAACAACTACATGGATGGACAAGAAGATCAGGATCATCCGGTTTCTGTTTTAAACTATCATGATTTCTTTCCTAGAATCCTAAGAAAGAAATCAGGTGCATCTGGCAGGGACGATAGACAAGGCCTTCTCAGTGGTGGCTCCTCAGGTATGGAACTTCTTCCCTAGGGATATTAGATCGGCCCCCTCCCTCCTGACTTTACGGAAAAAAGTAAAAACTTGGCTTTTTGAACAAGCCTTTGGAAACACAGTGCAATAGACAAACACGGAACTATGTAAGACTGAAATACGGAATGGCTCAGACAATCTTATTGGACAATGAGATTACCAATGAAGGCATTGGTTTTTATATGTTTTTAATAGTTTTATATGGATTTTATAATGTTTGTTTTAAATGTTTTAATTGCATACTGTAGATTGTTATAGCATCAAATTGCTGCCGGGTTGTAAGCCACCTTGAGCCACCTTCGGGCTTGAGAAAGGCAAGATAGAAATATCCACACTCTCTTCTGGACTACAGCTCCCAGCATCCCCTAGGCCAGGCCCTTTAGGAGAGGAGGATGATCCAAATGCACTGCTTCCAAGCGGCAAGTTTCAGAGTTAGTTTATAACACTTTTCACACTGTTTAAGAAACTGAGAATTAGAAATCCTTGATAACTTACTTCAAATTTTCTAGAGGTCTGCCAATAAATCCATATGTATCTTCATTGAGTAGCATACTTTAAAGCCATGCTACTCAACGTCGTAGTCTATGGCCCAGTGTCAACCCACGAGCCTGAAGGGTTTCCAGGGAAGAAGGAAACAATTGTAGCCAATGATCATGAGTACGGTACCAGTCCCTAGCACAATGGGTAGGAAAAAACCTGCCAGCTTCCCATACCAGGTAGCTTAAGAAGCACAGGAGTTTACTTAGAATGATAAGACAGAAAGGCAAAACAATTGAAAGTCTCTCTCTGTGTGAATACGTGCGCTCACGCATGTGCTAGAACACTCTAAAAATCAATGTAATGTACAAGGTATTCTTCAATAAAAAGGTCAGTATGGAAAGGAATGCCTGGAGGTAGAATATCTGAGCAAACAACTGAACCAAAGGCACAAACAGAATTGGTAAAACTGTTCTATTTAATACGATATCTACTTAATCCTTCTTCAGTCAAGATGCCTGCTGGGAATGAACTGATCTAGTCATCCCATTCATGAAAACAGCTGAACACTAGAGTTGTCCTTAATAACAATATGTTTCTCATATCTTGTAGCTGTTTCCCAAACATGTCTAGAAAAGAAAATATTTTGCATGGCTTTTTGCACTCTACATCTCCACAACAAATGCACCATTGCTCACATATGAATACTAGTCAACAACCATTCATTAAAACATAAAGGAGAACATGCATGGAAAAAGACTTTATACAGTATTAATGTAAAACATGCCTTGGTAGACAGGAAATGTACAGAAAAAGGCAAATCTTTGAACTAGGAAAACAAAAGGAAAGTATGCATAGAAGCATGACAACTGCGATAACATTCCAATGTAGTTTGAAGTATCTCTCTGGTTTTGGACTCCCAAAATGACAAATTAATGAGTCCTAGAACAAATCAAGCCTGAACTCTCATCAGAAATCAAAGTAACAAAACCGCTTTGGACACATGAGAGGATATGACACTTATATATAAATAAAAATGTAATGTTCATTTGTGGGATTAACATAACTCAAAAACAACTGGATGAATTAACACAAAATTTGGACACAATACACCTGTCAGGCCAATGAGTGACCATCACTCATAAAAACACTGAAAAACATGGTGGAAGGGACTTAAAAGGCCAAAAAAAGCAAAAAAAGACATGTGCAAAAATGCCTCCTCCTGGCAAACAAAACACACAACAGCATATCCACACTCTCTTCCAGACTACAGCTCCCAGCATCCCCTAGACCAGTCCTGTTAGGAGAAGAGGATGATCCAAATGCACTGCTTTCTCTGAGAGCATCCCAATCCCTGCATATTTCTAGTTTCCTATTCCTGGACAGCAACTCCCAGCAATCCTCCAGATAGATAGATTACATAGAGATAGGTAGGTAGGTAGATGGATCAGGAGGACTGCTGGGAGTTGCAGTCCAAGAATAGGTAGAGAAGGAAGAAAGGGGAGAAAGAGGAAGGGAAAGAAAAGGGGAGGAGGAAGGGAAGAGGAAGAAAAGGAAGGAAGGAAGGAAGGAAGGAAGGAAGGAAGGAAGGAAGGAAGGAAGGAAGGAAGGAAGGAAGGAAGGAGAGAAGGAAAGAAAGAAGGGGAAAGAAGGAGAGAAAAAAGGCCAGAAAGAGGGAGGGAAGGTTGGCCACAGCAACGCATGGCGGGTACAGCTAGTTAGAAAATAAAATTTTAGTCGACCAAGTGGTAGTAAGAAACCAGGAAGCCTATATTGGAGGAGCATAGACTCAGCCAAGGAAGCTATGAACTTTAATGCATGAGATCTTAGAAAGGCTGATGATGACAGGATGTCTTAGTGGCCTCTCATCCATAGGTTCACCATAAATCAATACTGATTTGATGGCAATTAACATTCAAATTCCGTACAACAAGCCATAATTACAACCACAAATAGGGTTACAAATATTCATTTCCAAAATAATAAGAATTCATTAATCTACACCAGGGGTCCTCAAACTTTTTAAACAGAGGGCCAGGTCACAGTCCCCCAAACTGTTGGAGGGCTGGATTATAATTTGAAAAAACATGAATGAATTCCTATGCACACTGCACATATCTTATTTGTAGTGCAAAAACACTTAAAAACAATACAATAATTAAAATGAAGAACAATTTTAACAAATATA